TTAAGTGCCCTTAAGATACTCTTGGTGTACTGCTGGTTAATTAAGCCCAATAATCAAGTTAATTTAGAGGAAAACTATTGATTCAGTGTAGTAAAATACCATTTAAAGTTTGGGGTCGGTAAGATTAAAATTTTTTTTTATATATATATATAAAGTCACCAAGACTGTATTTATTTGATCAAAAATACAGTTAAAATCTTATATTTCATTTCATAACAAAATGAAATATTATTACTTTTTTACAAATTTAATTTATTCATGTCTTCAGTGTCACTTGATCCTTCAGAAATCATTACTTCGTGTTTGAGAAACGTTTCCCATTATTTTCAATGTTGAAAACTGTACTGCTTAATATTTTTGTGGAAACTGTGATCCGTTTTATATAGAAAGTTCAAAAGAACAGCATTTATTTAAAATAGAAATCTTTTGTAACTTTACAAAAATTTCTTTACTGTCACTTTTGATGAATCCAGTGCATCCTTGCTGAATAAAATTATTTTTTTCCAAAAAAATCTTACTTAACGAGTCAAACTTTGTAGGGCAGACTCAAAAAAACATCTGCTCTGACAGAACACACCAGTGGGTGTTTACCTCTACTACGCTCACAGATAACATGTTCCCAAGTATTACTTATAAATGTCAAATAACCAGTTCTCGGTGCTCTTTCTTTGTCTCCTGTGTGGACATCATAACAGAGTAAGATAGTAAGACAGTCATTCAGCTGTAATTACTCACCTGTCAGCTGCAGGTGAACCTGCTGCATGGCTCATGACGAATAACAACAAGGCAATTATTCCAAGACAACAGTATTGCTGGCTAAACAATACGTGTTGTTTGTTACAACAGCAGGAGGCCATCGTGCACATCTTTCAAGTGCCTTCCGAGATTTGTTGTTTTTAATTTACTTTTGAATCCTTTCTTTTTTAATATATGTGGGTTTGAAAATGAATGTAGTGTCACATAACATAACATAACACAGCTCAGCCAGTCATGTGCTGTTGTCACAGACCATGTTAAAAGGCTGAGAACCTCACAAAAAGGCAAAGCACTATGCCATATGCCATATGCCATTGTTTCAGGCAGGATGTGCCATTTGCACTGGGAAAAAAAAGTGTGGGCCTGCAAATTTAAATAGGGTCTTCTATGATATTTTATGTTATATATACAAAACCACACCTAACCTAAATGGTGGAGTCAACCTGAACACAATATAACAGAATCGTTCCTTTGGTCAAATTCAGACTAAGTCCTCTTCCTATGGTCAAATTATGCCATAAAACACATAGTATTTTATTGTTACTACTTTTATACCGTTAGCAGATAACTGTTCAAAATGGCATGTCTTTTATTTGTTAACATTTGCTGATTGACTTTCTTTCATAAAATGGTCTGGTGATAGTAACTGACTTCATTTTAGGCCCACTACATTTCCTGATATATAACCTCTCCAAACAAACATTTGCATTCTGTTTCTCCCTCTCTCTGTTTTTCTTCCTTATCCTGTTGTCACTCCTCATCTCATAAATGTGTCTGATCTGCACCTCAGGGAATCCACCCTGTCTAGTAAGACCAGGTAAGCAAGGTGACAATACGTAAATAACACAATGGGTACATGTAGGTTTCTAACTCACCTTTTCTTTTCCTTTTAAATGTGAGAACAATCAAGCATAACCTGCAGGTAATGGATGTAACAAAGTTTACCAGTAATGTTGTGGGAAATGGTGTATGTGAACTTGAATATGTCACATGGTTAGGATGACAAAGTAACTAGATTTATCTTCAGGTCAGAGGAGGGGAGAATTCATCTGCCATATGCTACATCCTGTTTTAGCATTAATGAGGAAAACCTCACAGCCAGGAAAATGTTGTAATGTGTGTTGTCCTCTGAAACAGCCAATAGCTCCCCTGAATAATTTATGTAGTTACTGTATAAAGCCATTCAATTTTATGCAGGTACTGTGTGCTTTAATACGTAAGCAGTGTTTACAAGACTGCAGACGGCATACAGTGGTGTAAATTTGTTCTGCTAAATTACATCCATGACAATTGCACTATTAACATAAAACATAAATATTGAAGGTCCATAAAGGCTCATAGGAAAATATTAAAGACCATTACAAATTGTTTATGCTGTGCTGATTTGGATCGTTATAGCATTAACGATACACTATTGGAATTTGTCAAAAGAAACAGGCTGGATCGGAAGAAAAAAAAATTCATAGTCCAATACAAAAACTACATAACTAGGCTAGGCAACAATCCGCCAACAGCATAACAGAGAAACGGCGAGTAAAAAACACCAACACGCACTGCCACTGACATTTTACTTTAGGGCAAAACAGAGTGTCCCACCCATAGGATTGCTATCTAAGGTAGGGCCTATGTGATTGGTTATTGGAACGCTAATTCACAATTTTAGCCAATCACAACGTCCTATATAAGAATGAGTCACTAGCAAAAAAGAATCAAGTTTTATAGTAGAGTCGATTCTGATACACAGTTACTACTATTTATAGAGAATCTTTTGGTGTCGACTCCACAATTGTTTTCAGTTGTTTTCAGTTACTCTGATAGCATAGGGGACGTTCACACGCAAGCTGGCTGCCAAAATGTATTATTTTTAGTTAAAGATGAGTATTATTCTAGTCATGTCATATCAACACGGAGGCCCCCCACGACGCATTTGAGCTGCCCATCTCTCTGTAAAATAATTCAGCGTTTATTTGTCTCCTGGTATGACTGGAGTCATTTCATGTAAGTGAATATGATTAAACTGTTTTCAAAATACCATCACTCCAAAAACACCTTCATCAAACCAACAATTTCGGGGATGCTAACCGTGAAATAAAATATAATAAAATGACAAGTCTGTAAGTTAGCCCAACTCAGAAAAGGTTTGCGTGAGAACAGGAGAATCGATCCTCCTACTTGTTAGTCACACGAGTCGACTCACCTTTTCTAAGAAACATCTGTTTATTTGTAGTAAGGAAATATCTTATACGTGACCCTGGACCACAAAACCCATAAGGGTCATTTTTTTAATCTGAAAGCTGAATAAATAAGCGTTCCACTGATGTATGGTTTGTTAGGATAGGACAATATTTGGCAGAGATACAACTATTTGAAAATCTGAAACCTGAGGGTGCAAAAAAAAAAATCTAAATATTAATCAAATTGCCGTAAAAGTTGTCCAAATTAAGTTAGCAATGCATATTAGGTAATATAATACTATATAATATAATACTACTAATCAGAAATTAAGTTTTGATATATTGACGGTAGGAAATGTACAAAATATCTTCATGGAACATGATCTTTACTTAATATCTTAATGATTTTTGGCATAAAAAATCGATAATTTTGACCCATGCAGTGAGGTTTTATTGCTACAAATATAACCGTGCTACTTATGACTGGTTTTGTGCTTCAGGGACACATATATATATTTGTATATGTAGAACTAAACTTCCTAGAAGATAACCTATGTGTGCATTTAATAGACCAAATGATAAATGTGCATTTAATAGACCAAAAAAAAAAAAAATGTAGGCACTGTTCACTTGCAGAAAGTGATGAACACAATGCTGAATGGTTGTTATTTAAGTACCTCTTTGTAGCCTCATATTGATCACTATATTGGATTGAATGGGACAAGCAGAGCTTCTCCAGTAGGACCACTCCAAATGGGATCCTGTTTTCCATCATGAAAGGCTGGAAACATAATCCCTGTGACCTTTCACATGCTGCTTTAGCTGTTCATCATGCTAATGGATTTCTAGATAGTTAAGACTTTTGTCATACAAAAATTGATAATCACTCAAATGGCCCATTTATCCCTGTGATGATTGATTAAATTGCTTCAAGGTCTATTGTGATGAGGGGAAAAAGCAATAATAAGTGCGATTTACAGCCTGTATGCGTTTTCCAAGGGGTGAATTTAACAAATATAGAGGGTTAATGATTACACTGAGTCATGTAGTAGACTATCTGTTCCCTAGATTAATGATTGACCTACAATTTGCGCACTTTGAAATATATTAAGCAAACAAAATCACGCAGATTAAAGATTTCTTCAAGCAAGTTCAAGGCATCTGCAGTGCAATTTGTCTGACTGCGACACCAGAAATGGTAATGGTTTTTTTAAACTGTAATTTATTATAATTACAATTATTAAAGGGATAGTTCACCCAAAAACATTATCTCTGTGTCTGAATATGCATGCTTCCCTATAGTATGAGAAAAACAGTAGTATGTCCGAATTCACATATGACCTACTATTTTTAGTGAGATTCTGAAGCGTGCATCATGTTAACAGTTTATTATCCCATGAGGCCACGGGAGAGGAGTTGTAGTGAAATGACACAACTGATGCTGATAGGTCATGTGACCGTGACAACGGCAGATAGTAAGTCAGGATTTCATCCATACTACCCATATTTATATTATGTAGAACATACTTTTTTAATGGTCGCAAATGTAGTACCTACAAGACTTTCATCATTTACTGACTTTCGTGTCGTTCCATACTTGTATGACTTTCTTCTGCAGAAATCAAAAGAGAATATTTTGAAGAATATTGGAAACCAAACACATTAATGACTGTTGACTTCCACTGTTTGGACAAAAACATTTACTTTGAGACATTTCCCAAAAACAACCACAGGAGAACAAACGTCAAACAGGTTTGGAATGACATGTGTATGAGTAAATGATGACAGAATTTTGGTTTTGGGTAAATTATTACTTTAAAAAGTTCTTAGTTATGACTCCATGAATCACAATAACAACAAATTATGTAAATTATACCGTGCTTTTTTCTTTTTGTTCCTGCTTCTCCTTGTTAGTCACTGATATGATCCAATTACTAAATTAAATGGAATTGAAATCCACCACTATTGTAAGCATAATAACTCAAGCCACATTACAGTCAAAAGTGGCGTAACCCTCCTAAGGTGTGACGCCTTCCCGTGTAGAAATGGAGAGGGCTCCACCCCAGCACTATCAACCCCACCCCACAAAAGCAGCCGGCTACAGGTAGGTGGGAGCTGGAGTGCGCACACAGGTGAAATGTTGCTCGACGGGTCTAATAGGAAACAAAGCTTACGTAGCCAGCACAGATACTGAAAGACTGACAGCTCTCTCTCTCTCTCTCTCTCTCACTCTCTCTCTCTCAGTCAGGAGGAGTCTATATGGGACGCTGTCACTCTGGAGTTGTCTGCACACTGGAGGGCTGTGTTTCTACTGACCTCTGCATATTGGAATACTGAGCCTCTTTTTTCCCTCTCTTTCTGTCTCTGGTCTCATCCGGGGGAAGGAATTCTGGCAGAGCTGTTGAAGGGAACTTTTTTTCATTCTTCCCCTCTTTAACACACACACACACACGCACCACGTATCTCCTCCTTTGGTGTGTAGCCTGCAGTGGTGGGCACAGACGTTGATAGTGTTTGTGTGGATGTGTGGCGTGGACAGTGAAAAGGAGACATGCTGCAAAATGGCATGGCTGGTGCCATCAGCACCACAACCACCACTGAGATACCAGACCTAAATGAGGTAGGAAACACTCAATCATATTTTCTTGCTCTTTTGAACTCTGAATTTTCCTGACTATAAGTGATTCTCAGTGAGGTGTTTGCTTGCCTGTGTTTGGTTCGGTTTCTGTCTTCTGTTCCTCCCGGCTGTGACTTACGCATTGGACTGTGCCCTAATGGCTCGTCCATATCCAGGCTAATCGAGCGCTGTTGACGTGTGCGAGGCAGCGTTGTGTTGTTCAGAGAGGGGCCTGTAATAAGAGCCACCGTCCTGGGAGGCAGGGCCCTGTCATGTTTATTTTATCAGGGCCTGGCGCTCAGCCGCTGTTGCTGCGGTCAGCTGCCATTCAGAGACATTCTTACAGCTAATCAACTGACACCCTCTCAGATGGCGCTAACTGGCAGAGAGGGCATCAAACCGATGAGAACCACATTTTTGACTAGTAGTTATTGATTTGAATCGAATAGATGGCCACATCTGAAGTGGTTAATCATTAAAGTGTTTATGGGCAGTCATATTTTAATACAGTTTTGTTATACAATCTGTCTCAGTGACAAAAAAAATCACTTGGAGCAGCTTGTTTTTTTCTTTTCATGCATGACATTTCTCGTAATAGATAAGCGTTATCTTTGAAAGGACTTAAAGTTTTGGTTTTGGTTTCAGTGAAATTGCTTCCATTTTATCTTGAGATAACAATCATCAGATTGTCCACCTAATTAAACTTTTTTGATTCTGGCTAATCGTTGTTTGTTTGTTTCTCTGTGTGTATGTGTGATGTCTATCAGAGGAGAATCAGGCGTCTCAGATTAACCCTCCGGCCTGAGGACAGTCCAAAATCCCAGAATGAATCCGTCAACTCTGTAAGTATCATTTTAGCATCTTTCAGTAAAGTTCTTGCGGCCCGACAGATTGGCGCTAGCCATCTTTTCACGTCATAATAAACAAACTTCCTCTTTTACCTGACTTCACACAGTCCCCAATCTGTTTGACTAGCACCACATATGGCATGATGTCCTGATAACAGGATAAGCTCAACAAGATAACATAAATGACTGATTTCTTTAGGTTATGACACATCAGCTAGAGATGCTCTCAATCCAAGGTTATTAACTTGGTGTCTGTGGTCCCTGAAAACACTCCTTAGGGTCAGTGGAAAAGATGTAGAAAATATTTTCTTCAATTTATATGACATTTTAAACTATTTAAATATATTGAGCTTTTTATTTTAAAAAATGTTTTGCATTTTACACTTTTTTAGATTTTTTGTTTTCATATTTTACAATTTTACCATTTTTACTGTGTTTTGGAGCAAATAAATGCAGCCTTGGTGAGCATAAAAGTCAAAAACATTTTAAAAAATCTTACTGGCTGCAAACCTTTGTGTGGTAGTGTGGATATTTACAGGGGTGGACTTAACATTTAAGCGAGGTAAGTGGCCGCTTAGGGCCCCGGGGAATCAGGGGGCCCCATCTGATATTGGTGAAACATATTTGCTGTATTGAGCAATGTAGCCAATCATAGACATATCTCTTTATTTCTTGAAAGCAATGACCAGAAGTGTTTAAGTTAGAATCCACTCACCGCACAAAATGCCAAGTTTTTGTCTAGTGCTGAGTTCTGCGAGCTTGGGAATCCTCTCATTATAACAAAGTGTAGATACAATGTAAATAATGTCTGGAGATTTTTGCTTAATAATAGATTACATTTTCAATTTGTTTCTCGGCAAACCCTACCGTATGCCTTCAGAACACTTGGAATATGGAATGAGTTGCATGGGATTATTTTATGTTTGGAAAAAGATTGAAAAAGTTTGCAATTTATTAAATGGACAAGTGCAAGCATTTTTTATTATTATTTTAATAAAAATTAAAATCTTTTGTGATCCGAAAAAAAATAAGGTAGCCTAATATGGCTTTAGAACCTGAACAGCACCAGGTTGACTAATTACTGGTGTGAAGCGATAAATAACCTAAACTATAAACTATGAGAGCAAGTGAGCAAAATAAGGGTTAGGCGTAAAAGAGCTCATAGTTACTGTGTTGGGGCCCCATACCTGGAATTTGCTTAGGGCCTCCAAATCACTCAGTCTGCCCCTGGATATTTATATTTTATATTTATTTATATTGTATATAATATGACAAGTCGATTAACAAAAACAAAAAAATAAAACAAAAAATAATTATAGGCTTTAATTAAAGGATTTACATTTAGGCTTACTTTTTAAGGATGTGAAAGATGGAATTTCAGAAAGGGGAAATTTTCAACATTGTTTTGTCTGTGAATGTTGGGTCAGTGTTTCAGAGAGATAAATCAGAGACTGTGTCCTTCCTTTTGCTCTGTCACTTGGTTTGTGCGTCATAGATCCAAACTGCCAGCCCGTAACATGCCACACACCTTTACTGATAAAAAACATGCAGATAAGCATGCATTCTTGGAACTACATGCAAAGATTCAATAGTTTAATGTCACTTTACTTACTAATCCAATATGTTTAGAAACAAGTTACAAGTTAGTTAGAACAAGTTCATGCAGATAAATATAATTGAGCGGCCCCCAAAGTTCAGAGTCACATGAAACAAAGCTCATGAATTTGAGTCACCTATTTACCAAGGGAGGTAAAGTTAATTTTAAGCTTGTTTGCATATACAGCTTAGTCTGTGTGACAAATTAATTTGTATGTTTGACAGTAGTTGCTGTAAGCCTTCTACAGACAGTGGTGTGCTGGGAAAAAAGTTAAGAGAGGTGTGTCTGCATGTACATGAATGTTTTGATCTGTACCTTGGCCTGGAACTTGCACCATGCAGCTCTTAGTCCTTGAAGTTCAACTGATATCCACCCTGTTTGGTCTCTGATAGGAGCTGCTTTGGGAACATCAGGCACTTTCATAAGCCAGATACTAATGAGAAGTAGAAATCCAGGAGCTCTGCCAACATAAAACTGTTGATGGCCTTATCAGTGTCTGTCTCGTGGGAAGGGCCAGCTGTGGACATTTTGCTGTGTGAAGCGTCAATACACAAAACCCAGGCCTGCTTGATGAGCTGCCAGTGGCCAATTCGATCTGGAATTTGGCGATTGGGAATTTCAAGTGAGGGCAAAGATTTCACCACAGATTTCACATTGAGTTCAAGTTGGTCACATAAATTTGCCACACTGCCCAAGAGAAAGCTGCTTGGTTTGAAAGTGAGTGGCATTTCATACATTGCTTCATTATTGACAATGGACTATGGACTTTTTCTCCTTGTGAAATTTTACTGAAAATTTGCTAATGTGACTGCACCTTTGGCAACAGAGATGAGCTTCCATGGAGCTTTCATTGCCAACATTTGAGAATATAACTTTTTAGCCTTTACGTTAATATTAATTAGTTGGCTCTGCATAGAAAAACCTTCCAGGTATGGATTCTAGTATCTGGGTGATGTCAGGGTTTTTGCATTGATTTTGAATATAGAGGCTTTTCATATGCAGTCCTTTGCATCATAATTAGTGACATACTGTAACTGTACAAGTTGAAACCAGGTCAAAGGAAGACTAAATGAGAAGAGGGAAAAGTACAGTCAGGATAGTTAAGTGCAAAATCTAGAGAGCATTTCATTTAACTGAGATATTCAATTACTGCCATAACAAAGAACCAAGACAAGAAACCACTGCAAATTTAAGATGGGTGTGTGTGTAATCCTATCCTCCATGGGGATACTAGTCTACCTGTGGTCTGAATTGCCCGAGTTACACCTGTTGGATTACAGGAAGGCCTGAAATTCACATTGACCCAGGGCCAGTTTTTCTCATAAAAGCATTCAGCTAAACGGCACAGAATGACGACGTAACTGGTCTCAGCAAAGCTGGAGTGGGTAGCTGTGCCAACACTACCCACTGCATGCAAACAGATATACTGTTCTGTAAAACACAGATGCTAGACTTGAGTTTACACCCTCGAGCACATCTTTATACAACAACAATAGAGCTCATTGAATAGTGTTCAGTTCAATCAGTAAGATTACGTGAGCAAGGTAGAATATGGAACGGAAAACACATGCTTTTATTACTTGAGCTAAGACGACAGATATATAGTTCTATATTGGTATATTAATATTGTGCACAGAAATATTGTCAAAATGAGCATAAAAGTTTAATGCAGCTGCAGTTTGTTGGTGTTGTCTGTCATTGTGGTTCGGCACTTTTAATGGAAGCACATTGTACTGTATGCAGAGAATACAATTCTCACGTTGTTTACAACAGTAACTGTTTCTTCTAGCATAAGGATGGTGCTTAGTAAATTTGCTCGAGTAATGATTTTTGATATTTAATTTAAAGATTTAAAGTTTACCCATAATGTAAAGTTTTGTCCTCTTTAACTCACCTTCATGTCGTTTCAGATCCAAAATACTTTAGTTCATCTTTCAAACATGTCTTTATGAATTTAATCTTTACAAATTTTATTTCAGAATTTTATGTCTTTGTAAATTTTTTAAAGCACCAGCATTTTAATGGAGTAGACTTTCAGTGAATGGACAGAATTATTTTAGGTTTCAACAAAAATATCTTAATTTGTGCTCAGAAGATGAACTAAAGTTTTATGGTTTTGGAGTAATTGATGACAGAACTGTCATTTTTGGGTGAACTATCCCTTTAATATTTTATTACGAAGTAACCATTTTTTAAAAGCAATAATGCTGCACTGTAATATCAGTATGGCCACTCCAGAAGGTTAATGCCTCTGTTAGATTTATTAGGCTAAATTAAATCCCCAAAATGATTCACAAACATTTCTACACATAACTCATATCACTTCTCAAAAGGCCAAAACTGGAGGTCCTGTTGTCAACGTTTTAAATAGCTTTCCCCTGTTTGACTGCCTCAAATTTAATCTCATGGGCTTGTGTTTTTGTGGGTTATCTGTCAAGTTCAGTGAAGTCCAGTGCAGAAGGCCATGAACAACACTGGCATCATTGTTCTGTCTCACTCCCACACATTGCTCCCCTTCAGTCAGAATCAGAGAGAAACCTTAATCATATTTTCTCAACAACTAATTCTCTATTTTAATAGAGAATTATACTCATGTTCGCCCTTAAGGTTGAGACAGAATTCAGTTTCTCTCAGTGAGGAAGCTGAAGCTCTGTGTTTTGTTTTTGAGAGGAGTTCTGAGGAGGTGTGGTCATGACTTGAATGAGATTACAGTTCTGAGAAACTATGTCCTGAGAAGAGAAAGGGGAATACCAAACCCTGAGAGTGTGATCACAGCTGGACTTCATCAGTGTTGTTCCACCTCAGTACGATGTGAAAATAGCACACATGAAAAAGATGGAATATGGTTCCTCATAAACAGGAAAGCTTATTAGAAGTAGGATTTAATTGTTGCATAAAGACATTTGGCAAGGGCAAAACCTTTGATAATGCCTTCACCTCAGCAATCTGTGAACACAACATTGGTTGTCCAATTATCACCCCAAGCATCAACATGTCTGAAAAATTTGATAAGACCTATGAAAATAATATATGTTACATCACAGGGCGAGAAACTGCTCAATGGTTCCTGGAAAAAGAAAAATGGGCTCATGCAGAGAGAAAGACCACCTGGGAGAGAATCGCCTCAACAAGAAGACAAGGTATGACAGCTTCTGAGAACACAAACAAACCTGAATACCATTACCCATGCATATGTCAAGATTAATAATCTGATTCTTCTAATATTTACCTGACAAAAAATTGCAGTTGGTAAGATTTTTTTTTTTTTAAAGAAATTAATACTTTTATTATTTAATACTACATTTAATTATTAGATTTAATTATTTAATACTAAATTTTATTATTTAATATTACATTAATACTTTTATAATTTAATAAAAAGTGACAGTAAAGGCAGGTATAATGTTACAAATGATTTCTATTTGAAATAAATGCTATTCTTTGGAACTTTCTATTCATCAGAGAATCCTGAAAAAAAAAAGTATCAAAAATATTAGGCAGCATGACTGTCTTTAACGTTTATAATAACAAGAAATGTTTCTTGAGCACCAAATCAGCATATTAGAATAATTTCTGAAGGATTGTGTGACACTGAAGACTGGAGTAATGTTCAGCTTTACAATCTCAGGAATACATTTTAAAAATAAATTTTAAAATAAATTAAAATAGAAAAAAAGAAAATTGTAATAATATTTCACAATATTGCTGTTTTACTGATCAATAAATGTAGCCTTGGTGAGCATAAGAGACTTCTTTTTAAAAAACATTCAAAAATCTTACTGAACCTAAAATTTTGAATGATAGTAGACGGTATTTTTCCACTGGATCCATTATATACTGTAATGCTGTACTTTTGGAACATAATAGACTATGTTTTTAGTATATGTTTGAATGTTTTTGTGTCACCCAGTAATATTATCAGAGTAATTTTATCTATGATAGTGATGGTGTTTAAAACACAGGTGCTGGTTTCCCAAAAGATATTTGAGTTCAGTGTGTTATTGTTTGCAAAGCAAGCATGAGCTGAAGTGTATCTGCACAATATGGCTTCAGGGCTTTCTTTGCACAGTAAAATGCTTGTTCACTTATTAAACATATAACAAAAGAGCTTTCTTAAGCCATGCAAAACATGAAATATGACTCCTTTAGTGACCCAGTGTAAAAGGTCCCAGAATCCAGAACCAGAATAAATTGTAAGGCCATTGATCCTCATAGCTGTGCCCTTGAGCGAGATCTTCTCACCTGTAGTTGCTCCTGGGGTTTGCTATTATGACACCTTTTTCACTTCACTTTCCCCTTGGCATTGTCAAGAAAGAAATATTTTCTCTATGTACATTCACTGGATAATGTCAACAGCATTCCAAGTTTCAAGTTCCCTTTCATATATTCAAGTTGAACCTGTAGACATAAAAGTTTTTTTTTTTAAATTCTTTCCGACTGGCAGGCAGAAATATGACACCCTCGCTGAGGACTATTCTGACTGTCTATATCCCAACCTCTCATTGTGAACACTCAGCAGCAATGCTTCTAATACCAGAGCATGTCACTCGCAAATATAGTCTATCAGTCTTATTTATCAACCAATAGGTGTACACACACTCAGACACACAGTGGTGACATTGGTCTTCACAGCTGTAAACACAACAGTGTCACACTCTCCTTTTAAACACATTCACAAGCTGAAATCTGAGCCCTGTGGTCCTATTCCCCCAGCACCCTGTGACCAATGGCATCGGTCGGGAACAGCCCGCTCAGCACGGGCCCAGAGTTTATGGCGTGGTGCAGAGCACAGGCACCAGCCACCAACAGGAAGTGATGGCACGCGAGTGGTCTGTCAGTCACCTGAGGGATGAGATGAGGTACATCAGAGAGGTAAACTCAGAGACTTTTCTTTTGGTACCTAGCTAACTGTAATTTGCAACTAGAAGACTAGTTAGCATGTTATTCAGGAATGTACATCCAAGCAGATAACTAAAAACCATCTTTCTTTTCTCACAGGTACGTGACTCTTTGGAAAAGGTCAGAGAGCGCATGTATGGCCAGTTTGGAGGGATGCAACAATCAGTGCAAAAATTAACTCAGGAATTAAAGGTGAGCAAAACACGGCAAGAATATCATCTGCCACCAAACCTTACCGTCAGGCTTCATAAAAATGCATTTTATAGTGGTATGACAAGTTCTCAATGTGCTGACTGTGTTTGTCCCAGGCAGCCAACTCTCATAAGCGTTACCTTGAGTCAGAGGTGAGGACGAGAAGGGCAGGTATGGATAGCTTTGACCAGATGAACAGCTCCCTCATATCAGCAAACATTGATCTACAGGTACACAATCAATGTGGTCACTGCCAGCTGACAAAGGCTTGTTCTTTCCAGAGCAACTCGTGACATTTTTTTGTCAATTTTTGAATGTAAATGTGTTGTAGAAATCATTGCTGGAAAGCTGTCAAAATCGTGTGGGGAACAGAGATGAGATGAGAACTCTGCGCAGCTCGTTGGAGAAGACAGAGGAGAAACTCAAGGAAACAGAAAGACAACTAGCAGCAGCACAGGCTGAAAACCGCTCTCTCAAAAATCAGGTGCACACACAAACAGCTGTTACACAACACTACTATTATCATTCAAACCATTCATGTTACAGACAACCTAATACCATGGTACTTTGGACTAAATTTTTTTGTTATAATTTTTTATAATTATTGTATTTCTTGTTCTTATACTTTTTTCTAGTTATTGTATATACAGTTTTTAAACCTCATATTAATTGAGAGACTACTACTATTAAAAATACAGGTTCTTTAAGTCAAGTCAAGTGAACTTTATTTATATAGCGCTTTTAACAATACAGATTGCGTCAAAGCAGCCTTACAGTATCAAATAGGAAAATAGTGTGTCAATAATGCTAAATGACAATAGTAAACACTCAATTTTCAGTTAAAGGCAGTTCATCATTGAATTCAGTGATCTATGGTTTGTAAAAGTTAATAGTAGTTAAAACTTAAAAAGTAAAAAATAATTTGTCATACACAAGGACTATTTATGTAATCTGTAATCTTTACTGCTAAAAGGTGATTTAGAAAAACATAAACCCTTTCTAAACTATTTATTTATTTGTATTATTTACATTTACATTTAGTCATTTAGCAGACGCTTTTATCCAAAGCGAGTTACAAATGAGGACAATGGAAGCAATCAAAATCAACAAAAGAGCAATGATATACAAGTGCTATAACAAGTCTCAGTTAGCTTAACGCAGTACACGTAGCAAGGTTTTTTAAAATTATATAATAAATAAAAAGAAAACAGATAGAATAGAAAAAGAATAGAGCAAGCTAGTGTTCACGTTCACTTGCAGAACGCAAGCTTCTAGAGGGCACATAAGTCTGAAGTAATGAATTTAGGTAAAGGGGTGTAGAGCCAGTGGTGTTTTTTTAAGGGCAAACATCAATGCCTTGAATTGTATGCGAGCAGCTATTGGTAGCCAGTGCAAATTGATAAACAGAGGTGTGACGTGCATTCTTTTCGGCTCGTTAAAAATGTATCTTGCTGTCGCGTTCTGGATTAATTAATTAATTATTTAATTTTAATTAATTAAATTGTTATTTTATTTATTGAATTATTTAATACACATATTTTAATCAAATTATATTATCAGAACAATTACTTGAATAAAAGGATAGTTTTACTCAGATTTCAGAATTTTGTTCTCCAGCGTGTATTGAGAGATCTAAAGAGCCAAGGAGGAAACAATGGATTTCAGTGAATTTGTTTGAAGTTTTTACATAAATAGCATGGTTATTAACATGTGACAACTAAATTGCATTTTGTACATAGGTGGAGACTTCTCAGGAGGCCAAGACTCAAGCATTAAAAGAGCTGAGTGCAAAGCTACAGAAGAAATATGAGGAACAGCTGCAGGAACAGCAGAGGAAATACAGAGAGGAGATAGAGGCTCTGCAGGTACAGATATAACCAAACAAACAGACACTCACAATGCCTTACTGTCCAACTAGTTCAGCAAGAACTGCACTGCGTGATAATGAGCGCGTTTACATGCACGTTCTTAAGCCGATTATGCTTAATAAGCCGAAAACGCACTTGGTCATGTAAACGCGGTAAGTAGTATACTAGTAGTATACTTGTAAGTGTACTATTTCAATACTCCTTGCGACTAAATTGGCCCACTTTCTAGTATATAAAAGTATACTTTTAAGTATACTTTAAGTATAACAGTAGTAAACTTTGAGTACACAACTAGTTTACATCAAAATGTTTAGTTTGTACTGCAACTATACTAAAAGTGAACATATGTATACTGATAGTCTACTAATTAAATACTTGCAGTAAAGAAAGAAGGAAATATATATCACAAAAGCAGACTTTTTCATGACTCAGAAAATGATAAAAATGTGTTCTCATCTCGTGCAGCAGAAGTAGAAGTGGTTCAGTCACAATGCTGCGTTTATAACTGCATGAGAGGATAATGTATGAGCTGTAAGTTTCCCAAGTTGTTGCAAGTTGACATGTTGCAAGCTTAATTTAACATCACAACTGACAAATGTATGGAATACTCAGAGTCAGATACGCAAATGATTATATTTTGACGTCACTACAGGGAAATAACCTGATTTATTAATGAAGTCATGTAAACGCAGCTTACTTGCGTTGTCAGGTTACTGATGTGCATGTAAACGGGGAAAACTGGTTATATTAATAAGCTGATATTTGTGAGTTATCAGCTTACAGGTGTGCATGTAAACGTGCTCAATATGACAAATGCATTTGTTTTAATGTGTGTGACTTTTGAAAGATTGTAAGTCGCACTGTAAAAAGACTACATTTGTATTATACTTCACAAGCAGGGAGTAAGGATTCCAATCTCATAACAGGAAACATCTGTAGTTCACCAGGAAAGAGAGAAAAATTTTTAAAAAATTTTTTTCTAAGTAAGGGTGCCACCTAGTGGTAATAGTGGAGATTTCCAAGAGAATGATGATAATGACTGATGATGAACAGAGGCAAATAAATGACTGTAGTTCTGACCTGTGTGTCTGCAGGCACAGCTTGATGACTACATGAGGAGGCTTGAGGAGGCAGAGAGGAATGCTCAGATAGCGGAGGCAAAGATCGCTGAAAGGGATCAAAAAATTACAGAGGTGGAGAGGCTACTAAACTGTATGGCTCAGGTAAATAATATCAGTTGGCTCAGCCTTTGCCTGTTACCCTGAAGGAAACTCTTTATTCAACACTTGTCTCTTTATAACAGGAAAAGGGTGACCTGATAAAAAAGCTTTGTGAATGTGAACAACGCTTACGTGGTTTGGACGAAACTGACCATGCAGATAAAGCTGTGGCCAAACAGTAAGACATTTAATGTATATCTATAGTATAATAAGTTTGCAGCTGAAACCAGTGGGGATGTCATGTTTCTTTAATTTAGGATGGTTTCAGTGGACAGCTTAAGATCTATAACAACCAGATACCATAACTAAGTATATAAGTAGGACTAAGAAAAATAACTTCGTTTTCTGAAGTAGCTATGCTATTTGAACATGTCTTCATGTTCCTTACATCCTTGATACCTACAGGTACCCAGAGAAAGAAATCTCACCAAACACACTGTATAAAAGACACAGCTAAATGTGACATTTATTATAATGTCACATTTATTATGGTTTGTGTGAATATTGTTTAAGGTTCACTTAAATTAAACGTTGTTAGAATATTTTCAATGTTATGTAATTGTAAAGAAATGATAAATAAAAAATGGTCTAATGATTTGTAGTTTAGGCCTGGTCCTTAATTATACTGATGAATGGCTATAATTACTCATTTTGTTCCCAGAAATGGAAAAAATAAATAAATGAATAAATAATTGGTTTTGGTGTAAGTGGTACTGACCTTCATTCATAGTATTTAATATAATAAATATTTAAAATATTGTTTTAAAATACTGTCTTTCTTTTGTTTCTATATTAATGTTATGTTATAATGTTACTGTTTACATATTTTTATGTTAAGATGAATCCCGATTAATTACATAAACCTGTGCAATTAATTTGTTTTTAGGTTTGTTTTTCCCTCTTAAAAAGTCTTCATTTTGTCCCCTCAGAGAAAAAAAAGCTCCCAATAATACTGATGGCCAATAATACTGAGCAATACCCAGTAATACTGAATTGTATTTCAGTATTTAATTGCATATATTATATCTCTCCTAAGCAACATGTTCTTTCTCAGGTCGGAGCAGCTGAAAGCGGAAGCAGCAGAACTGAAAGAGCGAATAAAGCATCTCAACGACATGGTGTTCTCTCAACAGAGGAAGGTCAAGGCCATGATAGAGGAGGTGAGGGTTTACAGAGACTGTTCGTTCTGTTCATAAAGAGAATACCATGTACACAAAATGTCCTTTCAAGGAGTCATGACACGATTATTGTAACTGAATCTTTTTAATTATAAAACAAACAAACAATTCCGCAGGTTGAAACACTGAGAGCAAAAGTTGCACAGAAGGATATGTTCATCGCTGAGCTGCTGGACAGGATTGCCATTGTGGAGTGTGAGGTAAGAGCAACGGTTTCCATGTAGCAAGATGTGATTTTTGCATGCCCCTCATCTTCACCAATCTAGAAAGACACAGATTGGTTGGAATAAGCACGCTGAATGCGACTATTCCTGAATTCATTGCTATTCTGTCAGCGAGTCCCTTTGGTTGTCATTCAGATTTCTCACACATCTAAACTGAATCGGTCTTTGTCCGGTGCCCTCTTTACATGTGAAATGAATTCTCTACTTAATTTCCCATGCCTATGGTCTGACTCTGTCCTTTGCTTTGCTTCTTTTCCTAGAATAATGAGTTAGGAGACAAGTTGAAGTATTTTATGTCTATACAGAGAGCATCTGAGACTAAAGTAGCCACCAGGGACATTGGAGTTGGCTGTGACCTCCCCATGAGGTAATGAGCGCAAGATCACCTTGCCATAAGAAATTTAAAACTGCTTTCGAGGCCATGGCTTTACACACATGCTCTTCCTGTGTTCATAGATCTGAGGAGCCGCCGTATGTCGCTCCTGTCCAACCCAGCCCCATCTCATCGGCCCCGAGATCCCCTAGCAGACTGAACTATAGCCTTCTTAAATACACTCCCGGTCAGTACAGCTCAATGCTGCGCTCCAGTGCAGTAAATACACAAGAAACTGCAAGCAGTCCCACACAAACTTCAAATTATGTTCAGACCAGCCATGAAGACGGGGACTCCAAATCTCCAACAGCCTCAGAACTGTCCTCTACCGGCAGTCCTAGAGCGAGGACCAGCCCGTCACAGATCTACACTCCTTTTATGAAGCTGATGGAGATAAGCGCTAAAATGAACATAGACTGAATGGAGTTTTACTGAAATGGCAGCAGCAGAAGCTTATGGAACATGAAGTATTGTTGTTTTGTTACTGTTTATGTAACATTAAGGTGTATGTAAATAACCTACTGATCTGTGAATAACTTATTTTGGTAGTATACTGTATACTGATGCACTCTGTTGCTTTGTTTACCAAAAAATCTAGTGATTTTATGTGATAGCTTTCTATATTTTACAGTTATCTATTTATATTTCCATTTTCTGAGACCGTATTTAGATTATTTTCTAAAGTGTATTACACCAAATATTTTGTTATATACAAAAAACTCAAAATAGGCTCAATATATGAGGGTTTCTTTCAGAAAAGGAATGATGGTAGCTATTAACTGTGATCATAGCTCAGTACTTTTTTTTTTTGTTGCTTCAATGTGTTTTGATGTGTTTAAATGGTTCTTTTTATTTGTACTAAGAGAGTTGTTGACATTAGTGGTCTCACACTCTCAGTTGCACTTTTCCCACCTGAAGTTACTGATGCAAAGACTCCAATTCACCTGATTTTTTAAGACTCGAAACATTCAGAATACCAGTTTAAACAAAGTATTGGTTATGGACCCCCATTGTTCTAGACCAGAGTGCATTATCCAAGAGGAAGCAGGCCTCTGTGGATTGTTCGCAGCATTAATGTGTTAATGCACTTTTCTGAAGACTCGCTTCAGTTGCCAAAATCACATAATTTATGATGACTGCAAATGAAGGTTTATAGACTACATTTGGTATTTTTCACTCACCGAGCACTGTATTTACACATAACTGGGTATATTGTTCAAGAAATAAAATGTCCAAACCTACAACTTGGTGGATTTTTTTTTAACTAAGGTTATAGGCCTATTTATCTGTAAAAAAAATAATAAAAGAAAAAAATTAAATCTTCCTTTATAATGGTCAGCTGAGCATGTGCTTCTAAATTATGTCTCATTGTTATGACTCAGACTTTACTGAGTGGAAACTGAAAAGCAAAAAAAGTTATAAGGCTTAGTAAATAGCATATTAACAGTAGTAGTAATATTTATTAACAGAATTATTAAACGTGGCATGAAGCTTGTTTAGATTATTTTATTGTCTGCAGGAATCTATTGGTGTTGTTTCATGGTGTTGTGATTCTGTCCAGTGTCCAGAAACCAAACTGAATAATGGAGCTCTCTATGGGATAATATGCTTCATTCCATCAGCAGCAGGTGGAGTGAATGCTGATGAATGTGCATGAAACTTCAATGTCACTGCTAAGAGCTAAGAAAAGGCACATTACAAGTATGAATGTTATTTTTATGTGTTAAATGATTGACATGAAAAAAAATCTCATTACTTTAAAATGTATTCTTGTAAGATGCTGGGACATACGCTTATTGTTTATTATTCTTATATCTGAATCAATAAATATTATTTAAAAAAATAGGCGGTTTCCCTAGTGAAAAATAAATACTAAAACGTATTTAAAATACATTTATTTCATGCTAAGTATACTACAAATACATTTACATTCAGACACTTGCAATTGTACTTTTAGTATACTGAACTGGTATACTTAAAATCTGCTAAATAGTAACAACTAATTTTGTACTAAATGCAGTTTAATTGCACAGAAGTAGTGCTGGAGTCCAACTAAAGAATATTTGATTGCGCTAAAGTGGATCTATGGCAAGTATACTTAAGATACACTTAAATATCTTGCATTTAAAGACCGATATTATTCAAAGATCTTACAATCCTCATCAATAGTGACATTAAAACACATTTTAGGCTTAATATTAAGAAATGTGCATTGAGCACAAGTAGTACTCCAAATAAAGTTTCATTTTAATTTTTATATCAGTAAGTCTCGAGCAATATGTCGTTATATATGTTAATGGTTTGAACTATACTTAGTATGAAATAAATTTATTTTATTACTTTTTTACTAGAGTTATCACACTGGAAGAGTCCGCACGCGCCGCCCCACTCATCACAACCACGGAGGGCTGTCGTCATGACAACCTAACATACCGGAAGAAAAGCACTAGCGCGTTTTGTTTATAATGATATTATTATTTATTCAGATCACTATCGTGCTACAGTATGATTATATATTAAGTATTCAAAAATATCTCTTTGACCACTTAAATCATCAGATTTCAACCTTTTTATTAGCACTTTCTAGGGAGGTCAAGAGGTCCCGCATATGAGAAATCGTTAACTAAAACAAATATGTTCTTGCTGCTAGAACAAATTACTATTTTTATTTATTTATTGTTATTGTGAATTTCCTTTTGCAGCAGAAATGTGGAGGTGCCATGATGCATCATGTGTGTGTGTGCGTGTGTTTGATTACCGTATACACCATTTTTATCTAATACTAACTGGAAGGTAATTCCAATAATATCATGGTATTATGGTACATTATATTACTTTAATACCATATGAAAAAATACCATGTTTTTCTCAGATTCGTTTTATATATGCTGACATATATATATACTGTATATAGTTAAGTATATGGTGTGTGTGTGTTAATATGGTCTGCCAAAAATTCATTCTGCAATTCAGTTTTATACTCTTCTTTCCCCTCCAGAAATAACACAAGATGGCTGTGAATGTCAGAAGAGGTTTGGAGATCCCAGAGCCATCAGATTACAGCAGCTGTGAAGATGATGATGTGATTTATTTCACAGATCTGCAGCAGCCTGATAATAATCTACCTGAGTCTGCAAGAGTGATCAATAAGTTGTTAAATAACCTTGTTGACAGTGCATGGGAAGTTATATCAGAGCAGGAGAAGATCAAGAGGGATGAAGAGAGAGCAGCAAGACAAATCCCTGTGCTGAGTGCTACTAAAGAAATGAAGGTATGTTTAACATGTACAATCATATGGCCTCATCATATTCCTTTGCACATGTGCTTTGTATGCATTTGTCCAAAATGTTCATTTTACATATGCTTATTTGTTTCTTGGTTCTTAGCTTCCAGGCAGAACTAATAGCATTGTGTGCTCTGATGATGGACTTTACCTGTTTCTGGGTCACACTCATGGTCTGTCAGTCATCAGTACATCCACTCTCACCTGTGTAAAAACATGGCAGGATGAAGGAGTGGAGCTTACCAGCATCTCTTGTGCCTCGCTGGGAAATGTGCACTCTTATGCACAGTGGATGACATGGGTAATTTCCTGAGAGTGGTGGTATGTTTTTGACAATTTACATTAAAAACTCCCCTTTTTTATTTTCTGTATTTGATTATACATATTAATTTTCTCTTCTGTCACCTAAGGTATTGCACGGCTTTTTGTGCATCACATGGAGAATATTTATTTAATTAAAGTCATCAACGAAACTGTGAGTTCATAATACTGTTTTAAGAGCTTATTTTTATGTATGCTGTTGATTTTCTATTGTAAATGGACTTACATTTAGAATTACATTGTGTTACATTTCTCACAAGAAGATATAAACCAAAGAAACATCTGTGCAAAATTTGAAGTGTCTAGAAGTGGGGACTTTGGAGCTGCAAGTCATCATGACGTACATTTCCTATTAAAATATGGAAATGTAATATAAAACTAAAAATACAGTTAACTGTGACTGAGTACTACTGATTCATTAATGCTGTTGTGGTGTATTTTCAATGAAGCTAGTGGCTGTGTTTGGCTGGATGTCTATCGCTTCCCACAAGATGTGTGGATCAAAGAGCTGGAAACCAAACAGGTAACTGCTATAGTTACGTTGGAAAGTTACCTGGTAAACCTTCTATTCTTCTTTACTGTATTTATGTTTTAAACAATTCTTAACATGGTGCATTTGTTGATGTCCGTTCAAAATTTGCAATTTCCTTGGAGGGACATTTTAAACTGTTATGTGTTTTTTCAAAAAAAAAAAAAAAAGAATTCTGTATGTTTGTTATATTGTTTACTAAATTACTTTAATGAGATTATCATATTTTTCTGTCTCTTCCATAGGCTACGCAAACCCCACAAACCACAGAAGCCAAACTGTCTCCAGTAGTCTTACTCATGAAGATCAAACCTCCAGAAATCCCTGCAGGTATTTAGTTTAAAGCACTGCTCTAAAATAAGTTTATGTCTTTCTTTTACTGTTCATGTCTTCAAGGAACCTCTCTGAAAAGTCCATCTGACGTCCTACAGAAGACAGAGGAAGGCACTATAATAGGCTCAGGCCAAAATCACCTCATTAGTAGTCGTCAATGGGAAAACCAGGATGCAGCATTTAGGAAAATTTTCCACCACAGCAAAAAGCAGAAGGTCCAAGGTAGGCTTGATTAATACTGCAATACGGTATACTGTAAAGTCATCCCAAAAAGTATTTTGACACATTAATTCTGTGAATATCTTTGCACTATATAGACATAACAACCAGTCCATCATTACAACCAACAGAAAGTGTCAACCATACCTATCTAATATCTAATATTAAGTGGTATTTCACCCCAAAGTAAAAAGTTTAATAAAATAATATTGATAATGAAAATTGTTAATATAAAGAATTTTTTTCCAAATCAATGATGTCCAGAATGTAACATGAGCTGTTACAGTAAGAATCATACGTACAACTTGCAATGCATCAAAATGTTTGCCAGAAAGACAAACAAACCCTTGATAAATTACTAATTGTTGAGCTTATATGTAAACAACAAATCAGTAGGGGGTCCCATGACATGCAGAACAAAAATAGATATTGTGACCACAAATTATGAATGTGCTCTCATAACTTTTTTGGCCATGTTTTATTAATTCATGGTCATGTTTGATTAATTTGTTCTCTTGTTTTAGTTAAATTGTGGCTATGTTGTTCTAATTCATTGCCTTCTTGTAATTTAGTTAAGTTGCAGCCACGATTTAACTAAAACGATGGAAAGAATTAAAACTTTGCATATATGGAGCAGCTGAACTGAACATATGTGATATATTTGGCAAAGTGTGCATTAAAACACTAGAACCACACCACTAGAGGCTTATTTTTTCACATTACAAAATGAATTACTTGTCACTTCTTACTGTGTGAGGGGTTTCTTTCAATGCCTGGGGAAGCCAAGGCAGCTAGAGGTGTCATGAACTCAAGAGATGATTTCACATGTATGTTTTTCAGTTATTAATATAGCCTGTAACGGTGTGTAATCAAAATTTGCAGTACAGTCGGTTCTCTGAATATGCATTTATAATATTTCTTCAAATTATCTTTGAAGATATTCCCATTGCTGTGTGCCTGTGGTGGAATGGCAGCCATAATCTCTTACATTATCTTCTGTTGAAGACCCCTAAAGAGAAGGGTACTCCAGCCATTCACTCATACATTTATACTGCATAAATAAGAAAGAAAATACAGTATATTAACATTACAAGGACACATTTGTTAGTCATGTGTATTAATTATATTTTAATTTGTTCCTGGATCAGACAGTGAACCCAGACCAGATGTTTTGTGGCCCAATTCTCAAGAAATCCTCTGCTCTGCTGTCAGTGCCTGCACACGGTTCATTGTTCTAGGGCTTGACGGTCAGCTGGTTCACTGATCATACTGAGAGAAGGAATCTTACCCTTGAATGTCTTCTGCAGGGTGTCCATATACCAATATTGTGATCCCAGGAGACGGCGCCATTTACAGGATGAAACTCCTTTTGCAGAGTCAATTGCCAGTCACTCCACTCTTTCAGGGTCCCTTTTTACCCACACTACAGTTAGTGCTCACTTGCAGGAATGGGGCATGCTACAGTGTGACAGCGGGCAGAGGAGGAGACACATGCACTGTTGCACTTATTGAAAGGTACAAAATAAACCGTTATTAAAATGTGTTTAAAAATACTGAATTTGGTGTATAAATAGCTAATAGTCTGGTTCAGTGTTTGCTGTAAGCTGGTCCTGCAGTTCCTCTAAAACCCTCTACCTCCCCCAGTTCCACCTGCCTAAATCTGCTATGTGATTTATGTATGTCTATAAATGTAGCAGCAGCATATCTTACAGCAGTATTTATTGATGTGCATAGCAGATCTTGCCCACCAAGACCAAATACGTTAACATCATATCCATTAACATACTAAAACTTGACATGATTGACATAAATATAATGACTGTCTCTAATCAGACCTGCAGGCCAAGGAAGTTCTGTCACTGTTGCTCAACCTGTGCCCTTCCTGAAGCGTCTGGTATTGTAAAATTTTGCAGCATAATATTGTATTTGACAGATGTTAGCTTCTGGATTAAATTCTTTCTTATATATATGCGGTGTATGGTTGTGACAGGTACGTTAATAACTTTGTTTGCAGTTGTAGTTAGCTTTAGTCCAAGATCTTAAGTCACTTTATTAAGAAAGTATGTGTCAAGAACTTGTACATGTAAATGTATCAGTACTAATTCCTGAAATTGTTTCTAGATTTTGTTGATGCAGAGTAATGGGCAAGTATCTATATGGGAAACGGAGGATGGAGCACCAGTATTTATCTTAAACCTGCCTACAACTTATGTGCTGGGCTCACTCAGGGAACCTGTGTGTCTGCTTGAGCAAGTCCAAAAAAAACTATATATTACAGGTAAACTTCAGACAAATTAATAATTTAGCTGAAAAACAACAAATGAGGTTCTGTCATGTTAGTTATTAGATGATTGACACCTTTTCCTGTTGTAGGGGACATTCACACAGAACACCTTTTTGCATTACACTGTGCTGCTTTTCCATTGTTTTCGATGTAAACTTGCAGACGGACATGGTTTGGCTGTTGCATTTGCTTCTTGCATCTTTTGCAATGTCTTTACACAGCATTTTCTAAAACCCCCAGAGGTCTAGCTAACATAATTTTTTGAAAAATACTTTAAAAAACAAATTTCTAGACCTTTTTTTTAATTTATTTTTTTCATTCCATTTTTCATTGTTCTGTGTGAATGACGTCTTATGCAAGTCTTAATACAAGTTATGATGCAATGCATCAAAGGTGACACATTTTTATTATAATTTGTTATTTATTGAGTGACAGTTACAGAAGGATTGTGTTCATGGTGATACTCTTGATTTTTTTAGGTGACAGAAAAACACCTTTGGTGAAGATGACTGATAGGAAAGAGCATGAGTGCTCTCTCTTCATCTTCAGCTTTTTAGAATGCTCATTGATGGATCTATATCTTGTCACAAGTCCAGCTGTAAGTGAAAAAGAGTCCAGAGCCACACTCTCAGATTTGGAGGAGGCCTGCAACCTTTACCTTCTAGAAAGGTTGGTGAAGTGTAGTTCAGTATCAAACAGTAGAAGAACAAATTTTGAGAATCTTTTTGTACGAATGAGACAAAATGTGACATGCAAGCTGTTCATCAAATGTTAAATTAGATAGGACTAAATGTGTATGTTAAGAGAGCACAAAAAAGATACATGATGAATTGTATAAAGGCACGTTCACACCAAGAATGATAATGCAAACTATATCTATATAACTATATACTCTATGATAATTATTTCTGCCATATGTACATTAACTGACTGTCACCACTGATAAGCTTCTACTAAATATTGTAGAAACGTAATTTTCTGTAAAGTTGCTTTGCAACAATTTGTATCGTGAAAAGCGCTATACAAATAAACTTGAATTGAATTTAATTATATTAGTGTCCACACCAATGAACTATAACGTTTTTATAATGTTTTTTCTAAGAGTGATTATGTGAGCATATTTGCAGCATATGTTTTAAAATAAGAAGCCATTTTGAATGGCTGTTAATGTTTTTATCGTTCATTAGCTGGAAAATGTTATTTGAAAGTGATTCCAATGATATTGTTCCTCTGTGTCGTTATTGTTGTTACTTCAGTTGTGGAAAAATTCTAAATCTGTTATTAAATGTCAGAACGAAAGTGAAAAACCAGTCATAGGATTTGTCTTTGGCCCTTTTAATTTTTGCAAGAATGCTGTCCAAGCATCGACTTTGACCTTCAACAGTATTTTCTCAGATTATTTCTAACTGGTCATAGCCATTCCCCTGTTAGAGGAATGCTGACAGAAGTTTTAGTCACATGCACAGAGAAAATAAAGGCCAACACCTGTGCAAACAGAACATATGTAAAATAGAAAATATACAATATAGAAAATAGAAAATAAAGAAATATATAGAAATTTCCATCACATTCTTTCCCCTTTCGATAATTTTTTGATCACTTCAGTATATACATTCCCTATATTTGACTTCAAGTATGTTAATTCACTAGGGCACATCATTCTCATAGGGCAAGAAAGCATTCAGCTGTTTTTGTGAGGCATAGACATCTCTAATACATGTAGCAAACTTGGGGGAAGTTGCAGCTTCACTATCTATAAGGAAAGTCACCACAGTCTTACTTGTGGCAGTTGTCTTTATGCTAAACTAGTTAAATGAACACAAGTGCCTACCTTTTTGTTGGCTTCTTCTAATTTGGAAATACACTGATTCAAGCAAGCGAGAAGGTCTTCATTGCTGTTGTTAGCAGATGGGTTAGTAAGCAAACTTGCATTTGCATGTCTCTCATTCCTCACTCTTGCCGGGCTGCTGGCGTTCACCCCCTCCCCTCCAGCCCCTCCAGTCTGTCTTGGTTTTAGTCACCTCAGTCACCATTCAGTTGTTAGGGCATTCATTCTTCCAATGTCCTTTCTCTCCACAGCGGAAACAGATATCCAGTTTTCCACATTCCACGTCCTCTGCCTCTCCCACGTCCACGTCCTCGCCCTCTGTTGTTGGTTCCTCTGTCTCTCGGTTGGCCTGCACTCATCTGCACAGCTTCATACATGGCCTTGTGCAATTCTTTGTCAGCGTTTTCCTTTTTCTTCTCCTTGTGTTGTTCCTCTGCATGGACTGCATGCTTTCTGATGATGTCCACCCTGGCCTCATTCCATCCAATGCAGCTCTGTTTTACTGCAGCACTCAGTTCAGGTCTCAGTCCATTCAGAAAACTGCTGTTCATGTACGATTCCTAAATGTCAGGTTGGTCACCTCTGTTCGCTGGTTCTACTATTCCGCTGTACTTCTTGAAGGTCTCATACAGTCGCACATAATAGTCCTTCACAAGCTCATCCTTCCTTACCCTGTATGCAAGAGTTAATCTTTGCGATGTCCACTCTCACTGGAAATGCAGTTTTAACACGCTGACACTAAAGTTCCACTGCATTTCGATATGGTCTGTTGTCATCGTGAGCCCATCCCACATGTATTCTGGTGGCATTGTTTACTGGAAAGTGTGGTCTAACTTTTTGCCAGTCCTTTGCGCCCAATTTGAGCATGAGAAGACGTTTGAGGTCCTGCATGGTGGGGCTAAATT